TTGTGAAAACAAGACCAACTCTACAAGAAATACTAAGAAAAGTTTTTCATACAGAGACAGCAGAGGGACCAACCAAAGTAATGAGCAACAACAGAAAAAAAGAATGCATTACAATGGCAGGGATAAAACCTAGCCTAACAATAATCATGCCCAGTGTGATTGTCTTTAAAGCACCTATTAAATGAAAAATAGTAGAAGATGGATAAGAAATAAAGCCCATTAACATGTTCCCTTCAGAGACACATCTAAGACATGAGGATACAGACTGAAAGTCATGGGAGAGAGGGAGAATAACCAGCAACTGGCATACATAAGAAAGCTGGAACAGCAATACAAATCTCTGATAAACTTCAGGATGAAAATCACCATAAGAGATAAGGAAGGACATTATATAATGATTAAAGGCACAACAGATCAAGAGGACATATCCTTAGTTAACATCTACATGCCTATTGATAGACCTGCAAAATACATAAAACAGTGGTTAGCAGACTTAAGGAAAGAAATAGACACCACCACAATAATAATTGGAGTCTTCAGCATACCTCTCTTGCTAAGGGACAGGTGAACTCAAAAGAAACTCAGCAAAGATGCAGAAGAATTGACTAAGTTGTACAACCAGCCAACTCCAGTTTTCTCAAGTGCACATGGTACGTTCTCCAGAATTGACCACATATTAGGATAGAAAGCAAACATTAACAAATTTGAAAAATACATTAAAATAATACAAAATATTTTCCACAGTGCCATAAAGATGGAGAGTAACAGCAAGAGGATAAAGGAAAAAAGAACCCCCTAATGGAAGCTAAATCATTCCTTGCTTGAGCGTGACTGGGTTATAGCAGAAGTAAAAACTGAAATGGAAAAGGTCTTCAAAATGAATGAAAATACATCATATCAAAACCTATGAGGCACAGCTAACATGGTCTTCAGAGGTCAGTTCATAAAAAAAAGAAGAAATAGAATAAATGACTTAGTACCGCCAGCAAATAGAAAAACAATAGGCTGATGCCACAGCCACTGTTGTTAGGAGCCTTAGAGTTGAGTACAACCCACAGTGACTCTTTGAACAACTGATCTGAACCCTGTCCTATCCTGTGCCATCCTCACAATATTTGGCTTATTCGAGCCTATTGCTGTAGCCACTGTATCAATCCATCTGACTGAAGGTCATGTCTTCTCTTTTGCTGACCCTCCACTTTCCCAAGGATGATCTCCCTCTACAGAGAATAGTCTCTCTTAGCAACATGCCCAAAGTATGTGAGACAAAGCTTTATCTCCTTTGTCTCCAAGGAGTACTCTGGATGCACCTTCTCCAAGGCATACCTGTTTGTTCTTTTTGCAGTCCATGGGGTATTCTATCCTGTGTGACCACTAAGAATTGGCTTAGCTTTTAGTTGATGTATATATATTTCTAGAGATAATAGAATTAGTCAAAGGAATAAAAATGATTAAAAGAAAAATGCTGAGTTTGAGAGGTAAGGAGACTAGATATATTGAAAAGTCTTCTGTAATACAGATGCTGAAATTATACTCAGCAATGCGTTATTTTAAATGTATTGTTGAACACAAAGTTATAAGTGAAATTTCCAAAGCCAAGGATGGGAGGTGGGAACAAAACGAAAGAGTAACGGAAATTATGAAAGCAGAGGAAAACAGAATCCTGTGTTGCTCTAGGGGCAAATGAAAACACCTTAAATCTAAACATTGTGATTAACTCTGGGGGCAGTGGGAGATTAAGAGGTTACATGTACAGTTAAAGGATGGGCTTTAAAAATCTGCAATGTACAAAGGAAACCTGAGATTACCTAGAAATTCTTACTAAGGCTCATTCTCAAGAGAAAAAAAAGAGTGGAACATTTCTGGGAATTTGTAAAAACAAGCCTGTTCCCACAGCCACCCATGGGTCAATTTTATATTGCCCCTATAGTTAGAGGTAGTTTAGTGGATATGGAGTTGTGTTACCAACCTGAAGGCAGGCAGTTTGAATTCACTAGCTATTCCACAGGTGAAAGTAAAACAGTCTCCTCTTATGCAAGCTGCATCCTGTGAAAACTGGAAGGTCATCAGTGAGTTGGTTCCAATTCGGTAACAGTGAGCAAATGAGAGGGAATCAGGAGATCAGGACATTGCAGTGATGGCAGGTAGCACTTCCCATGACCAGGAAGAACAAATCCAAATAATCTCAGGGGGAAATATGATCTCAATCCAATATCCCCTGTGCTCTGAATTTTTAAGTTCACTTGAATATGCACTCATCATCATCATCATCATCATCATCAAGTCAATACATGTACCATCATGACTAACAATCATGATGGTACATGTGCCTAAGACTTCAGATTTTAGAAATTTTTTTAATGAAAAGTGTAAGTCTTCATTTTTGAGATTGTAAAAAATGATCAGCTGAATTTCAGGAAGAACAGCTATTTGTGGAAACAAAAAATAGAGTTGATATTGAAGGAACCATACATCTCATTAGATAAGTTGAAGAGCTCATTCAGCAAAGTCAAAGAGGAAAAAGCCCAAATCTTCCATCACTGAGTTGCTTCAAACTCAGTACAACTATCTATCCATTGCTTTCTGAGGCTATACATATTTACGGGAGGAGATTGCTCATCTTTTCACTGTGGGGAAGCTGCTGCATTCAAACGGCTCACCTTCACGTTAGCTGCCTACTATGTTATGCACTGTTCCACCATGGCTTTATGGTAAGTCTATAAAACAAGAGGGTTGGCGCAGATGATGATGATGGCAAAAATCAGCAGATTTCAGAAATGACTGGAATAAATAAATCAGAGTATAGCACAAAGGTGTAAAGAATTGGAAAATATGATCTTTCATACTAAAAGAAAAAAAGGGCAAAAGAGGACCTTCCACTTTCATATATATATATATATAAATTTTAATGAAAGTTTACATAGACTTAGGCTTTCCATTCATTCATTGTTGTACTTTTCTCCCCGCCCACCCATTTCCCCTCAATTCACTTTTCTCTTTGAAAAGTAAAAGAAAAATTCTTTCATTGTTATACAATCCCTCCCTCCAAGTCCACTCCACTGTGCAACCTTCATTTTGGACTCCTGTCATGACAATAATACCTAATCACATATCCCTTTTAAATAGTCTTTCCGTCATCTGTTTCAATGCAGTAGACATTATTTATTCCCTCTTTCTCAGTCTTCCCTCAACTCTGTTGTCAGTCCCATTTTACAACAGTGGCCCTATGCGATATTTGTCCTTTCGTGACTGAGATATTTCACTCAGCATAATGTCCTCCAGGGTCATCCATTGTGTAATATTTCATGAGTTCCTTGTTTTTAAATTCAGCACAGTACTCCATTGTGTGAATATACCAGAACTCTATCCATTCGTTTGTTGATGGGCACTTGGCTTCTTTCCAACTTCCTGGAAGAGTGACTAGAGAGCTCGTGGAGTGGACAGTAAAGAAATACCAGCTGAGACTTTTCTAGGACTGGGAAAAGCACAAATCAAAGTGATTTAGGAAGGAGTTCACTGTATCCCTAACAAGAAAAAGAAAAATGAACTAACATTTAGTTACAGCACAGTAAGCTGCAGTTAAAAGGAAACACAAGCTAAAGCAACATGTTGGAAGGGAGAAAAGTAAAATAGGAAAACACAAATCTTTCTTTTGCAAAGCAGGCCATCCATGTATGTGTAATGTCAAAACCTGACAGATGAAGAAGAAATAATTTGAACCCATAATTGAGACCTGTTACAGAAATAGCACCTCGAGACCTGGAGAGTCAGATGGGTGATAGTCATCCTACCTCACCAGCTCTTTTGTACTACTAAAATTGTTATCATATAAATAAGTAAATTTTTAAATAAAGACATTTTTTTACTTTAAAAAATCCTTTTTGTTTTATATTGGTTTGCATACAAAATTCATATACATTGTGTTTTGTTTAATACTTTTAGCCAATACCAAAATTAAAGGCATTATTTCTCCTTGTGTCAATCTTATTCATTGTCTGACTCTCAAATGCATAGATAGCAATTGAAAAGATCATGACTTAAAACAGATACACCTTCATTTTTAAAGTACATTCTTTAGCACATTGAAGAAGTCCATCACAGCAAATTTTCCCAATGCAACATGACTTTTGATTTCTATTATTATTATTAATAATTCATTGTTGCACATTTTCTCCTCCCTTCCCTACCCCTCCCCTAGCCCACCCTGTAATGCACCCCTTGTTCCTGATTATTCTCATACATGTAATGCTTTATCATATATTCCTTTCAAGCAGTTCTTCCCCTCATCTGTTCTGATGCAGTATTCATTATCCGTCCACTCTTTTCCCCATTTCCTCTCCTACCCCCCAATATTGGTCCTATTGTATAATGGCAGTGTTATGAAGTATTTACTCTTTTGTGACTGAGGTAATCACTTGGCATAACTTCCTCAAGGTTCCCCTATGGAAAATAAATACATTTGAAAATAATTAAACTAAAATTATGAGTTGACAAATCGAAGGAAAACCTGTCTGTGTGTAATATAAAGTAGAAACTGTTCTGTACAAACAGGATAGTGAGTAAGTCTTGGTTTAAAAGTAATCATACTGTGACATTTTTTATATTCTACTGTGTTTTTGCTGCAATGTTTTATTCCAGGAATTCTCTTGAATATATTAAGAGTTTATTAACAATGTATAGGATATTTTTAAAATCTGAAATTCTGTTTTTTCTTTTAAACAAGAGATTATGAGAAAAGTTTACTTTATTCTTCTGTGAAAATTTCTAGACCCTTATCTTTTCCAGCCCAGAGCAACTTTTGCTGAATCATGAGCATGGAGTATTGACAGCATTACTAAATCCAGTAACAGTCTGTCTTCTCTTTGGGGTAGCTGTCAGTTTGCAAGTTATCATACTGTTCTAAATGTTGAAATGGCCAAGGAGTAGAGATAAGTGACTCTTTCTTAATCAGTCATTAATGTTAATGGTGTTGAAGTGTGTATGTGTTTGTTTCTTCTTAGGTAAATCAAGAACTCACTGCATTAGAAGAAGAAATGTTGCAGATGCAAGAATCTACTCGTCTGTTTGAAGTGGCTCTTCCGGAGTACAAACAAATGAAGCAGTGTCGCAAAGAGATAAAATTGCTCAAGGGACTCTGGGATGTCATTGTTTATGTTAGAGTAAGATGATGCTTTTTGAAAACATGCTTTTATTTTTCTTTTAGTAGTTTTTAAAAATAAACATGCAATTTTCAGTATCTATAACATTACTTGGGCTTTGTGAGGTGTTCAGATGGACATTAGATTTTAAATTCCCTAGAAATTGAGTCCATCTGTCTCTATTAGCTGAAGAGCTCTGGGGGTGCCATGATTAAGGCATTTGATTGCTAACAAAATAATTGATAGTTTAAACTTACCAGCACTCCCAGAGTCAAAGATGAGGCAATCAGATTCTGTAAGGATTTACAGCCTTGGAAGCCCCATAGGAAATTGAACTCAGTACCACACGGTAGCTGTGAATGGAAATGGATTCAGTGGCGATGGATTTGTTATTTTTTGAGTCTCTGTTAGCAGAAAATTCCCCTCTAAATGTCATTTGATTTTTCTTGTTAGTTCACAGCCAATCTTTATATAATGAGTTAAAACGTTGAATTATTTTAGAAGAGCATAAAGAATATAAATAAAAATTTATTTTGTAATGCATTCACAATCAACTGAACATGCAAACTAATGTATACATACCCCTATGCTTATGTTTACACACATACACACTTATGCTTATATTTACATATATGTGAATATATTAGCTCTTATTTAAAAGAATTCTTAATATGGCTGGTTAAGATAAAAATTAAAATATAGCAGTTAAGTTCTAGGAAACTAGATATATTGTAATAAGTATTATATATTAATTATCTTTGTGGTTGATTGCAAGTCATATGGCACTATATTAACAAAATATGAAATTTCATCAGGATGTATTATGAAAATTTTAATAATGTATGGAAATTTTCTTGAAAAAACATATAGAATTAGGAAATATGTTCTAGAGTCATAATAATATTAAAAGTGCACAGGATTAAATGGTAATGTGTATGAGATTTTTGCTGTTAGAAATAAATCTATCCTAACAGCTAGCCTTAAGCTTGACATGCTCTGACAAGTTGTTTTTTATTTTGGCAATAGGGCAGCTTTGACAAGTGTGGTTAATATTTAAATAATTGACTTCCCTCTGGATGATATAGTCACTGTGTATCATCAGTTTACATATTTTGTAGCAGAGACTTACTTTCACCAAATGTTGTTGACACTTTTATCTGCTTGTGTGGTTTCAGAGTAGCATTGATAATTGGACTAAAACCCAGTGGAGGCAGATTAATGTGGAACAGATGGATGGAGAACTCAGAAGGTTTGCCAAGGCAAGTTCCATAACTGTCTATTGCAACAATTTATCTTTCTCGGCACCACCTCCTTCCATCTTCTCTGACCTAGTATCTGGTTTGTGGGGCTGTGTATCCTTATTTACTTCAAACAGAATCAGTTGTTTTTTTTCTCACTCTCAGTCAGTTACACTTCTAATGAAGCCTGCTTTTCTGTGAATGAGTTGATAAAAACATATTAAGGCTCATGAATTTATGAATAACAACACAAACCATGAGTTTCCTAACACTATCTAGAATGGAGAGATTAATGATCTTAGGGTTGAGGGGTTAGGCCTCAAAAAGCCTTTGAATTCTTTCCTTAGCAACCATAAGGACTTTGCATTTGAGAAGAGAGTTTTGATTCTGAAATTTGGGACAGCTAATAGGAGTAGGATAGAGCTCGGATGGCTTTGTGGCAAGAAATTGTGTGCCAACTCAAAAACACATGGTTCGAATCTACCAACTGTTTTATAGGAAAAAGATGGAAAATCTCCTCTTTTGTGATTTGCTGTGTCTAAAATCCTTCTAGAGGGTCTGCTGTAAGTTGTTACCAGATCAGTGCTACATGTCAACAACGGTAAGAGAGGGAGATCTGGTGGCTCTGTAGTAAGGAGTTGGGCTGCCAACTCAAAAGGTTGAATGTGGTTTGAATTCACCAACTGCTTCATGGGAGGAAAATGGGCAATCTGTTCTCTGGTGACTTCTGGCCTCTGAAAGTCCACTAGAGGGGTCATCTGTATGCCTGAGACTATGAGTTAATTCCAACTTGATGGTACATAACAACAACAGGACTAGGAGAGACATTTAGTGTAGTCTGAAGTGAGTTGAGCTAATAACCTAAAGAAAGGCCAAGCAGCTCCAGTGTTTTGGATCCATCAGTGGCTCCATAGTGAACACTTGCCTTACCTTACCATGTCTAGCCTCGAAAACTAAGTGGAAGGTTGTTATGTATCAGAACTGTCTTACTGCGGTGGGTGAAAAAAGCAGTAGATGTATATGGAATATCTTCATTCTTGTTACTGTTTATTCCAGTATCACAGGAGGGCTCACTAAGCACAGAAAGATATTTATTTGAATTTAAGACTTTGATATCTAGCCCTTACAGCCATATGCCCTATGAGTAGACTGGGATTTTTTTTTTTTTATTACTACTATTAATGAAAATTTAGAGAGATTTTGGATTTCCATTCATTCATTGTTGCACTTTTCTCCCTGCCCAACCCTCCTCTCCAGTTCATTCTTCTTTTTGAAATATAAAAGAAAAATTATTTCATTGTTATACAGACTCTCCCCCCAAGTCCACTCCACTATGCAGCCTTTGTTCTGGATTCTGTCACGACTATAATACCTAATCATATATCCCTTTTAAACAGTTCTCTCTCTCATCTGTTTCAATGCAGTATACATAGTTTATCCCATCTTTCTCAGTCTCCCCCCAACCCTGATGTCAGTCCCATTTTACAATATACCCAGTAAAGGGCAGTTAGATTGTAGGGTTTTTGTTTCCTTCCCACCCCAGAGCACCATTTCCCCAGCTTGTTTCTAATTCCTGTGCTCAGCTTCAAACTCTCATTATGTCTTCTCCCGTCTTATCCTGGTCTCGAAACCTCTAACTAAGCCGTCCCTTCTTTCTATGCCTTAGCCTACCTTATAAATTGACTAACCCGTATCTGTGCTAGAGTGCCATCTCTCTCTGAATTAACTCAGGTCTCCTTAAACAGCTTTTATTCTTTAAGCAATTGTCATGAACTTTTTTCTTTGGTGTGCATGTGTTAAGATCCAGTTGTTAGGAGCTTTCACACTCACAACTGCTGATGCTGTTGCATTGGACAAGAGGTTAGACAAGTCAGGTACTCTATTCAACATGCTTTAAGATCATAAAATATGTCTTTTACAAAAAGCTCAACATTCAAAGGCAACCAATAATTCAAAGCCACCATTTAAATGAGGCTTTCAGAACAGAATATCAGTGATTTAGAGAAAAGCTTTAAATTTGCATGCACTAAAATTGTTACAGGAAGCACTCTTCATTGTACATATTCTGTGGATTTCATTATTCACTTATATATAATGTCATATGGACTTCCTCTTGGGCCATCAGTTAGAGTGTGTGAATAAGAACATATGGATTTATTAACTTGTCCATAGTGATCTTGTTATGGCTTGTTCACAGTGTTCTCAATGAGTGAATTCATTTTTATTTCTGGTCCTGTAAAGAATTATACTTTTCTTTCTAATCCTCCAGAAATGGGGAAACATGTAATGTTTTTTTCTTTCAAAAGATGCAAAATGAAAAAGATATTATTCTATCTGGAGGGATTTTTATTTGTTTTTCACTCTTCTCTAGGAAATTTGGTCACTAGACAAGGAAGTTCGTGTCTGGGAGGCGTATACAAGCCTTGAAGGGGCAGTAAAGGACCTGGCGACCTCCCTCAGAGCTGTCACAGAGCTACAGAGCCCTGCTCTCAGGGACCGGCATTGGCACCAGCTAATGAAGACCATTGGGGTCAGTATCTTGGAATGTCAACTATCCTAATTGAATATTTTTGTAACTGTGGGTTGTTCTTCCTTATTTTACATCATGCAAAATGAAGTGGGATTTGTCGCAAGATCTGCCTTGTCAAATGTAAGAAGTCACTCTCCTCAAGTTAAGAACAATGATTCTGGTATCTAGAGATCTAGTCTTCTTTCTACCTCACTGCTGTTTGACTTCAAATGAGCCACTTAACATCTTTCATTTTATTTTTCATTAATAAAAAGAAGTGTTATCTGGTATTGTACATCACAAGAATTTTGTAAGGCTCCAGGTGGATGATATAAAGTCATTTGTTGAATTTGTTGCTTTATGCCAACAAGTCAGAACCAACTTAGAGGACCCTCCAAAGGGTTTTCAGTGGCAGTAAATTGCATGGGAGGAGATTGCCCATCTTTTACCCAAAAAGCAGCTGGTGGATTTGAGCTGCATACCTTTGGCTTGGCAGCGCAATTCTTTCTTACTAAGACATTTATTCGGCACTACATGGCTGCAAAGAATTTTCTTTTTCTGTGGAGAGGGAATTTGGAGGTGGTTATTTTCCTCCCATAATTGTATTCATGATTCATGATTCATAATTCTTTTTCATGAAGGTAAAAGAAGTGAAAATAGTGTTGTTTTGAGTATTTTTAAACGGACAGTGATAATAATTGTATTTACAGTGTTGTACAATTTTCGTCATTATTTTAAGCAAATATGTATCACCTTTTAAATAATTTCTGTGCCCATTAAACAATATTTTCCTGGTTTTTCTTTGCACCTTGGTAATGAGTATTTTATCTCTATGTATTTGTCTATTCTGGGGAGCTCATATAA